GGCGTCTGTGGTCCCAGCTACTTGGGAGGCTGAGGCAGGAGACTCGCTTGAGCCCAGGAGTTGGAGGTTGCTGTGAGCTGTGATGCCACAGCCCTCTACCCAAGGGGACAGCTTGAGGCTCTGTCTCAAAAAAAAAAAAATTAAGTCATTCGTACATAGATCATAAATATAATCTTCTCCCCTGAATTCACTATGGGATTTAATGTGTTGATTATTTGTACAAATTGGAATGCTTATATTCTACTAAGCAACATAACCTTCGCCACTTTTACCCAATTACAGGATTAAGACATTCGTGCTCTACAGCTGATAGATCCAACTTGTACTTGCAATATGTTCCATAGGTGGGGTCCCCCTACCAACCCTCCCTCTATCGTCCTACCCCCCCTCCCTTCCCCTCTCCCTCCCCTTCCCTCCTTCATCCTTAGGCTATAGTTGTGTTTCATTTTTCCCATGCATGTGTGAGTGATTGTAAATTGGGGAGAGGTTTTTGCATCTGTTCTAGTCCCTTTTCTGGAGAGTGCTGGGGGCCAAGTAATTGATGGCATCAGGAAATACACAGCAGAACCAGTGGGGAGCATAAAACGAAACAGACTAATACACAGCTAACTTTAAAATCCTCCTCCAAGAATCACCCAAGTAGATAAGACATGTTGAACAGCCTGTTTTAATTAATGAGAAAAGACTGAATCACTGATCCATCAGGTCCCATCCAATAATACTCTCTCCACATACTGTGATTATCACATTAGTTACACTGAAGGAGTTTTGACACTTATTTTCAAAGAGGTAGTAATATATTCTTTTTTCTCAAAGGGAGTTTTAGGATATACAGAGAGTGCCAAAAAAAAATGTGCACATATTTCAGGAAAGGAAAAGAGGGCAGTAGAATTATAAAATTCAAGTCCCATTTGAGTTTTCCAACTGTAAGACGTGCTCGTGTATTCAACTTTTTTTTTTTTTTTTACTGTTATTTGCTTTTATTTTAGGTTGCATCTATTTCTGTGCCATAAGTCTAGTTTCTTCTGGGATATATTTTTCTTCTGTCCTACCTCGTCTTCTGGTTTGGGAACAATCTGTTCCTTTTTAGTAAGGATCATCTTGATGAGGCAGGGGAGCTCACGTATGGGTCAATGTCACCATGAGCTCTGTAAGTTTGGCGGCGCATCTTGGGTGCTTTGTTCACTTGGATATACTCAATGACCAGAGAATCTACATCCAAACCCTTAAGTTCAGCATTACTCTCTGCATTTTTAAGCATGTGTAGCAAAAATTCAGCACTCTTTTTGGGCCACCGACCCTGTGTCCAGCCCCACTGTTTGGCCTGGGCAACCTATCAACTCTACCATATGGGAATGGTACACACTTTTTCTTTGAAGGGACATCCTTCAGATACTTGGTGGCTTTTTGTATATGCATACCCTCGATGGCCTGGGCAGGTTCACATGTGTTCTTAAAGTGAACACAAAGGTTTGAGCCTCTTGATTTGCCTGACTTTGTGGGGTTTTCTGGGTCAAGTGAATAGTGAACCATTTTCACAGATCACCTCAGGCCGCTTAGGGGAAGAGCTATTCAACTTCTTTTTTTTTTTTTTTTGAGACAGAGCCTCAAGCTGTCCCCCTGGGTAGAGTGCCATGGCATTACAGCTCACAGCAACCTCCAAATCCTGGGCTCAAGCGAGTCTCCTGCCTCAGCCTCCCAAGTAGCTGGGACCACAGGCGCCCACCACAACGCTCGGCCATTTTTTGGTTGCAGCTGTCATTGTTGTTTGGCGGGTCTGGGCTGGATTTGAACCCGCCACCTTAGGTGTACGTGGCTGGCGCCTTAGCTGGTTGAGCTATAGGCATCGAGCCTCAGCTTCTTAAGAACCCATAACTAACGCTAATAACTCAGAGATGTTTTGTGTTAGGTTTCCTAACTCAATCACAAAAAAAGGAAAAGAAGAACCCAACAAAAGCTTTTGAAGGCGCCCGTGTGCCCTTTGAACACAATTCAAGGGCTAAGTTTCTATAGCAAGTATTTTTATCTTACCTAAAGGTTGAAAATTATATGTACATTTTTTTCCAGCTTTCCAGAAATAGTTCTTTGGCACCAATCAAAGATCTTTTCACCCTCTTACACCCCCTCTGTCTTCTTCTTTTTTTAACCTTTATTTCCTCTCTCTTGTGAAACAATGACTGTTTTCCCAGATATTTCTAGATTATTTTCCTCTGAAGTTCCAGAGATATTCTTGGTCTAATCCATTTATAACTCTTGGAGGATTATTCATTCACTAAAAACATTAACTGCTATTTACCAGGGTCTGATAAATAAAACCACTTCTCCCTACTGAATTTTTACTTATTATAACAATTGTACCAAGTAATTTATAAGCAATTGTAACAAGCAATGGAAACACACATTTTCAGTAGAGGTTAGTATGTTTTATGGAAGGAGAAATAAATACTGAGAAAGAGAAAGGGAAATATGCACAGATTCAAGGAATCAGAGAAGGCTTCTTAGAAGAAGTGGTATCTAAACTGGTGGAAGTGCAGATCAGTGATCAGAGGGAGGCCTGGTCTAACAGCTGATGTTGGAATCTTGTTTCTGTTACATAATAACTGTATGACCTTGGGCATGTTAATTTCTTCTTATCTATAAAATAGGGCAATGAGAGTAGTTTCTCCAAGAGGCTGTCATGAGGATTAAATAAATTAAATACATACAAGAACTTAGAACATTACCCAGCCCATAGCAATTATGCAATAAATGTTAGCAGTTTCCTTTTGTTTTTTGGAGATAGAGTCTCATTTTGTTGCCCAGATTAGAGTGCCATGGTGTCAGCCTAGCTCATAAGCAACCTCAAACTCTGGGCTCAAGTGATCCTTCTGCCTCAGCCTTCTGAATAGTTGGCACCTGCCACAACACCTGGTGATTTTTTTTGTTTTTAGCAGAAACGGGGTCTGGCTCTTTCTCAGGCTGGTCTTGAATTCTTGAGCTCAAGGGATCCTCCTGCCTTGGCCTCACCAAGTGCTATGATTACAGGTGTGAGCCACCCTGCCTGGCCACATTAACAGTTTTGACTACTATGAAGCCTCAGCTATTATTTGAAGGATGAGTAGAAGGAAATAGAATAATGTAAGATAGATAAAGAGGAGGAGGGAGTAGAGTTAGTGTGTTGGGAAGAGGAGCAGCAGGAGCAGGCTATCTCTGCTGAGAGCAGATGCGCATTACATTCATTGGAAGGAAATTCAGTTGGGCTGGAATTGAGGGTGTGGGGGTAAAGGAAAGAATAAACAACCAGCCATGAGGCTGAAAGGTGAGCAGGGGCGAGGTAATGAAGCGCTCCACGGGCACCTGAAGGACCTGGATTTTATCCTAGAAGCAGTGGTGAGCTGGTGCAGTTATAAGCAAGAGTGGCATATTCAGATTTGCAGTAACAGGTGCAGGAAAGAGGCTGCAGGCAGAGAGAAGGTGAGATGGAGCAGGAGACTGTTGATATGATCTGGGCAAAGGACCATGCCAGCCTGGACGAAGGCTGTGACAGTGGCACACGGCTGGAGAGAAGGTAGAACTAGAAAGACTTAGAACTCACTTTAAGTTTTAGAACCTGGGGAATCACCAGGCACAGTGGCTCATGCTTATAATCCTAGCACTCTGCGAGGCTGAAGCAGGTAGATTGCCTGAGCTCATGGGTTTGAGACCAGCCTGAGCCAGAGCGAGACCCTATCTCTAAAAATAGCCAGGTATTGTGGCTGGTGCCTGTAGTCCCAGCTACTCAGGAGGCTGAGGGAAGAGAATCGCTTGAGCTCAAAAGTTTAAAGTTGCTGTGAGCTGTAACTCCAGGGCACTCTACCAAGGGTGACAAGTAAGACTCTGTCTCAAACAAAAAAAAAAAAAAAAAGAAAGAAACCATGGGGATGTGGGTGCCATTCTCCGAGACAGCAGATTTAGTCAAGAAGGGCGTGAGTGTGGGAAGACCAAGGTCTAGTTATGGACGTGTTGGGAAGGGCTGTGAGAGACTGAAGGGAGATGAGGATGTCATCCCTAGAACAGCCACATTCATCCAGACAGAAAGTAGAACAGCGCTTTCCTGGGCCTGGGGAGAGGGGAAAATGGGGAATTATTTTTGAGGGGTATAGAGTTCCCATTTGGGATGATAAAAACGTTCTGTGGATGGGTAATGGTGATAGTCCACAACCATGTGGGTGTAATGTCCCTGAAGAGGACCTTTAAAAATAGTTAAAATCAGACATTTTATGTTGCATATTTCACCAAAATAATAACGACGATGATGCGAATAATCAAGGTAGAGCACATAGACTTTTGCTCCTAGAAAAATTAAGGCGGAAGGTCACTGAAGGGAACCACAGAGACTGGCTCCATCCTGGTTTCTAAAGAGATGATTAACATCTCTATGTTCTGAAAGATGAATGTTCTCAACCTAAGAACAGCCCAACTTGCCATCAGATAATTCCTAAGACTTTTCCCCTTGAGACAAAAAAAAAATTGTTTGTAAAAAACCAACTTGAACTGAGTTTCAATAAAAATGTACACAAACCTCAAACTGCTTGAAAACAAAGAAGAAATTGGAATGTGGCTGAGCCATGGAAAATTCAAAGACGGAGCTACGTCTGTGCCCAAGGGAAACTGATGGAGGGAAAAAAATATCGTGAAGGGCTTGTTTGAGATTATGGATAATGTCTGTTGGAATGTTTATGGCCAAAGATAGAATGATAAGGGCCTGCCCATGTTTTCCATGCAAGAAAGCGAACAGTAAAGTGGATATTTTGCTGAGAGAAGAACCTTCTGGAATAGAAGCTTAGATTAACAAACTCAGGGTTAGAGTCCTAACAGGGGACTTGAAATAAAAATGCAAATGGAATCCTGAAACACTTTAAACGTTACATACTTGAGCTTTATTTTTGTGTTTGTTTATTGATTATTCACCTAGAGTATTTGTAGGTGATATTTTTCTTTCTTTTCTTTTACTGACAGAGATTTTATTATGAGATAACATTTGAAATTCAAAAAAATTATTAATCATCATCTTTGTAAGTTAAGTGCTTCATTCATTCTCATTTTTTAAATCTTAAAGTAACTTTACAGAGAAATGAGACTAAAATCACATAATTAAAGTAAAAAGAAGATGGGATGGTTATAAGCCATTCACTAGAGGAATTAAGATTTAAACTGATGTTCATGTTTGCAATCAAAGAGTAATAAAAATAGGCTGGAGAGCTGCAAATGCTCCTGAGAAGTAGAATGATTTTTCCCCTTAACATGGAAGAATTAGAACATTTTTGGATATTTTCTAAAACCATTTTATTGAGATATGACCAACATACGTATTTAATATACACAATTGGATGACTTTGGAGATATTTTTCTATAACTCTGTTCAGTACACACTTAATAATTTTATTTTATTTTATTTTTTTGAGACAGAGCCTCAAGCTGTCCCCCTGGGTAGAGTGCGGTGGCATCACAGCTCACGGCAACCTCCAACTCCTGGGCTCAAGCGAGTCTCCTGCCTCAGCCTCCCAAGTAGCTGGAACCACAGGCACCCACCACAATGCCTGGCTATTTTTTGGTTGAAGCCGTCATTGTTATTTGGAGGGCCCAGGCTGGATTCAAACCCACTGGCTCAGGTATACATGGCTGGTGCCTTAGCCGCTTGATCCACAGGCGCCAAGCCACACTTAATAATTTTAAATGATTGTCAAGATACATGATCATTACTCATTTAGATTTTCTTTTCTTTTCTTTTCTTTTTTTTTTTTTACCCAAAAGATAATTTAAAACAAAACCCCATGAGACTAGAGGTGTGAATGGAGAATTTTATCTTCCCTAAATATGCTTCAAAACCACCAACATCATAACAGTTTGTTAGCATCTCTTTGGGGGAATTGCATTTTGTTACAAAATTCAATCATTAGAATGTTCAGTATTCTAATATTTAATCAAGGTCCTCAGGGGATGCAGTATTTAGAAACTAGAAGACATTAACTAACCAAATTATCAGCAAATATTTAAGGCACACCCATGATGCTCTTAGTCCAGTGAAAGAAAGGTGAAACTTGGTCTCTACCTCTGTGATCTATGTATTTCTGAGACTGAAGGCCTTTCTCTCTCCAGGCATTTATAATGGTTTTCTAGACCAGGTGACTAAGAGCGTTGTAGAACTTTAGGATACTGAGAGTAGGAAGCTCCAGGTTCTGATAATAAAAGGAAAGGTTATAAATAGCACTGGCATCATTTTAATAAATAGTGGCACTGGGGACTGGCAAATGAGGATGACCAGGCTTTTCCTGGTCACAATTCTGACGAGGTAGACCAAGACAGAAGAAAAATGAACTTGTTTCCCTTACTGGCTGTTATCAGCGCTCAGCAGAGACGGGCTGGAGCTTCTCCCCTGACCAGTAATGAAACCCAGGCCTCCTACTACTGCTTGAAACTTAAAGGAACTCAACACAGGCTAGAAAGGCCAGTGAGGGAAAGGAATGAGCTTGGGAATTCAGCTGCTCCATCAGACTGGTAAGCGGCTTCTTTTGGCCAGCTCTGTTCTCTTTCTGGCATCAGCCCTCAGTCTTCAGCCCAGTGGTTCTCAACCTTCCTAATGCCGCGACCCTTTAATACAGCTCCTCACATTGTGGTGACCCCCAACCATAAAATTATTTTCGTGGCTACTTCATAACTGTGATTTTGCTACTGTGATGAATCGTGATGTAAATATCTGATATGCAGGATGTATTTTCATTGTTACAAAGGGGTCGTGACCCACAGGTTGAGAACTGCTGCTTTTGCCAATTTGCCTTTGCTCTGTAGCAAAGAAAGACGTTACCACTGCAATCCCATTGCCCTTCTCGGCTCCCTGCTGTCACGATTTAACTAAGGAAGGCGCCATTTTGCTCTCTCTTATTTAGAAACTAAATGGTCCTACTTCACGTTTATTTGACTTCACAACTTACACCGAGCTCTGTACTCGGAATAATCTGCAGGCATTTACCTTGTTGTTGCGTTCAATGCCGACATAATCTGCCTCTTCTGGTATCATCACAAAGAGTTCTGCTTCGTAGGCGCCTTCCCCGTCATTCCTTGCATTTATTATGAGCATAAGATGATTGTCGTCTCCAGCGATTACCTCGTGCTTATCTCTGAAAATGCGGTTTCAAAAGAATTGTTAGGGAACTCCACTTCTCTGGTTCATGAAAAAAATTCTTTAAGGATTTATCTAGGAGGAAAAGAAGATGGCAAATGCGAGAGGATTTATCTAGGAGGATGGCAAAGAGGATTTATCTAGGAGGATGGCAAAGAGGATTTATTTAGGAGGATGGCAAATGCAGCATGGGACCAAAAAAAAAAAAAAAAAGAAGATGGTTTATCATGAAGAGATAATGGGAAGCGTCCAAAACATACCCTCTGGATAAGAAGGGTTGAAGAGTCGAGGTGATGTGTTGGTAAATATTTAACAACCAGTTCTCAAAAAAAAAAAAATTGTATTGTTTATAGCATTTTCCTATTTCAATGGTAAATCCACCCAGCGTGGTCAATTTCAAGCTACCAGTATGCCTAACCATCTAAGGAGATTCCTGCAAGTTTTACAGTTGGCTTTTACAAGCCAGAAAGGGGCAGTGTCAGCACATCCCTGGAAACACACACTGAAGAGAAAATGAATGACAGAAAAAGAAAGGAAGAGAGGAATTTAGGAAGCAAGGAGGGGAGGGTAATGCAGAGTGGAAAATAAGAAGGAAGAAACAGGCAGATAAAATTAGATCTTAAATAGCTGCTGGAGCATTTTGAGGTCTTTTGGGGAAATTTAATTCACTTTGAACTACAAATCAAATCAGCGCTTGGAAATGCCCATTCCACTTTTGAGCCTCACTCAAAGCGATTGCCTTTGACATTTGAGAAATTATGAAATTTGGGAAAAACCTCCTTGACCGGTTCTACCAAGAAGCAGATTCCAAAGACTGGCAGTGAAGTAGTTCTTGGGATGGAAAAGGGCTTGAATCTGCCTTTTCTACCACTGAAGGTTTACATCCCAGTTCTGTATTTTTTCATTAACATGATGTCGTACAAATTCCAGCCCTGGGTTCAGACTCCCCATCACCAGCAACTGTGAAGCCTGTTGTTCCTTCTCTGATTTTGTGACAATTTCTGCTATACTCTGTAAAGTGTCATGTAAGCTATCTTTTTTCAGTAAATTAAAATTAATGTTGTTTTGACAGTTTTAAGGGTGACCTAGTCATGGGGTGCTGTCAAAACGAGTTTGGTTAAGGTGTCACTGGAACCAGCGTTTGCCTACTCAGTGGAAGTGAGTAAATATAACCCGCGCCACCCCGCAGATGAGTTTACTTTTAACTAAAACATTTTCCCCCCACTTTTGCTGAAAGATGAAATGGCCCAGGCAGAATCTTAGGGTGTATCACTCGACGCCAATGACAAAGAATTGACCCAACCACAGGCTCACCCAAAGTGTAGCCACGCTCAAGAATGTCACGCAGCATATTTTTGTTTTTGTCGTCAGAAGAAGTGCCCACCTTCTCCTTTAAAAAGCTTTAAGTGAACACCTGTATTCCATTAGACATAATGCACGTGTTTATTTATTTAGACTTACGGTCTAGCCGACAGCTTCAAGTCAGGAACACAGAGGTTGTCCTCCCCACAGTCTACCAGGATGTGAGCCTGTGTAGCACAAACAGGCATGAGGAACAACTTGGGAAAACCCTTTCTCTTGACAATTCTGAACGATGCCACAAATCAAACCAAGGGCTTCATTTCACGATGCAGGACTCTACTCAAGCTCTCTAACCTACGTTACACGGTGACCTCCCAAGATAGGTTAAGTTTCCATGATATCCCAACTCCAATGCATTCCGAAACGTCTGTAAAGAATGCTATTCTGGGAATGTTTGGAGGATCACAGGCTGTCTTGCTTCGATTACAGGCACATTTTGAACAAATTAAATCTTGGTTGCACAAGAGGAAGGGCTTCCGAAAAACACAATGATGCAGTGTTTCAGGAAACATGTCAGGAAAAAACTCCCAAATGTTACATGTCTGCATGAAGGAATAAAAACAAAAAGAGCCGGCTTTCATCTTAGGGCTCCGGGAACAGGATACCCCTGAGCTGGCTTGCGATGGGGCCATCAAAGACAGCCAGTGACCTACCTGCTCACTAACAACGTTTTCCCTGTAGTAGTTCAATATGGGTCTCACTTCCAGGCCTTCTTTAAAAGTGGATTCATTCAAACTGTAATTCAAACTAATGTTGATTGGAGATAATTTATCTCGGAATTCAGTTTCATCCTAGGAAAAATAATCACAAACTCAAGAGAGGCTGCACGAAATAGCTGCAAGATGTCAGCCTGTGCGAGGCAGGCAACACTTTCCTTGGTGAAAGTGAACGATGAAGCAATTATCTCTGCAGCGGGCTCAAATGCACGTGGATTTATGTGGGATATAGTAGCCAGGGCAATTAATAGACATTCAGCGATGAAATCATGCAGAGTCATGGCTTTGTTGAAATATGCTTCTGGAGGTAATCTGTGGGCTGTCTAGACCTTCAGCCACTCACATGGAATTGGTCAACTTTCAAAGTAAAAGATTGCACTTAGTAGATATACCATTAGTGTCACGAAAACCATAATGAATTTGGATTTTTAATGAGGTTGATAGACTTTATGAATCTCTTGGACTCAGAGGAAGAAAATAACCCAGTTCTCATCCTCTCTTACGAACTCTTTAAGCCAGCGGTTCTCAACCTGTGGATCGTGACCCCTTTGTAACAATGAAAATACATCCTGCATATCAGATATTTACATTATGATTCATAACAGTAGCAAAATTTCACTTATGAAGTAGCAATGAGAATAATTTTATGGTTGGGATCACGACATGAGGAACTGTATTAAAGGGTTACTGCATTAGGAGAGTTGAGTACCACTGCTTTAAGCCCTTGCTTGTCTGATATTCAAAACATCTTCAGTGCATCTGAAGTTCCCTCAGAAAAAGAAACAGAACTCCTCCAGGGGACAGGGCTGAACACCAAACGGAAGGCACTAAGGACACAGAGGACAGGCCATCCTTCAGCTGCGTGTCTGTCAAGACACAAGAGTCACGTGCCCGACCTCTCACTCTCGAGTGTGACTATGGTTCCCCTTGCTAACGAAGTTCCTTAAACAAAGAGGGAAAGTGAGAATGGGTCATCCCACCTAACAACTGGCAAAGTAAAGAAAAATAATAGTGTTAGAAGTAGTTTCAATGTTTACATTTCACGGTAGATTTAGGCGTTGTTGGAAAAAATGCATTACTTTAAAAAAATTATAAATTACTTTTAATAAAACTTTGAGTGACTAAATGTTTTCCTGAGATGGCTCAGCAAGGCACGTTGATAAAATCTAACAAGACATACTCACATAGGACAAAAATTCAAATAAATTGTGCTGAACTTTTATGTTTTGGGAGGGAGGAGGTGAAGAGAAATGAAAACCATCTGAGCTGAGAGCTATTGCAAAGCTTCTGCTCAAAACAGACAGAAGCCTTAGAAGTTCATAGCAACACATCATTAGGTTGGTTGAAGTCAAGGTCAAGAAGAGAGCGTTTGACCTTACAATCAAGTTTCCTCCAAGGAAAATGGAAATAAACTGATGGGGATCTGTGGAGACAAATACGATGGTTAAGTGGAGAAAAATGGGTGGAATTTGGATGTGAATATGAAAGGCCAGAAGAGGCATTTCTGGAACACTTACTCGAAGGTAAACGATAAAATCCTGGCACTGACGGGGTTTCTGTCTCTTTATCTCAAGAGCGAAGACATGATGAGACTGATGGTTGTTCAGGAAGAGGGTTCGTTTGACGGCTCCTTTTTGTTTCAGGGAATCTAACTGCACCTCGGCCACCATAGCTAAAGGACAGAAATTCAAGTAAGTATAATCAGGAGAGGAAACGTATTCAGTGAACACAGTGCTCCATCAGAGAGGTGAATTCCCATTTCAAGTGGCTTATTCAGAAAACATTTTCTTCTTGTTAGAATCAAACATGATACACGAGTAGAAAAAAGTTTATAAAATACCCTCCAAGCTAAAATATTTTCAGAATGGTTTTACATAAATTGTCACATTCTCCTAGATAACGTTATTACCAACTAGGGAAATGATATTTATGTAGACGGTTCCGTATGGGCAATAGAACTCTCGGCATGAATAAAGCACTTGAGTTTTAAAGGATCTGTATAGAGAAATGGTTACCGTTCCCATTTCTTAGCACAGTAGAGGAGTGTACAAATGAAAACGTGCTCACCTATTGTGTCTGGAATGCTCTGGCCTGCTACAGACGCACACACTCTTAAAGAAAAGCTATGGAAAATAACAGCCAATAATTTATTAGTTAATAAGGTTTGGAATCTGAAGTAGAAATCTTCCTTTATCTCATCCCCGATGAAATGAATGCATCATTTTTTCATACTTCTAATCATGCACACACACACACAGCTTCTACAACAGTAATACAAATAAGACAGGTGACATTATTATTATAGTAGAACCTCCATAGTTGACCGCCTCCTTAAGTTGACCTAATTTTCATAGACTGGACATGCACCATAGTTATGTATCAACACAGTAGGCCTCGTTCCTCCTGTGGACCACCTCTGTATGTTGACCAGATTGTTATATTGGGTGGTCAACTTACAGAGGTTGTGCTGTATATAGAAGGTAGTAATTAAAAACATTACATAAGAGATTAACTGAGTCAGTCCATTAATTAATTACCTTCTGCCTTTTTTCAACAATACCTGAGTATTTTCCAGGTGTCAAGGAAGGGAGAATTAGGCAGCAGGAAAACCGCTATAGGTAAAACTTGGGAGGTAAGAACATGGCCCCGTTTGAGAGACCTGAAGAAATTCAGTATAATGCAGCGTGGTGGATGGACGTGGTGGAAACTTGCTAGGTAGGGGTCTAGTTGTGTATGCTAAGTTAAAAAAATTCAAAGCCTGGAGGTAGAGAGAGGAAGAGGGGAACAGGAGAAACTAAGAAAATAAAGGGATTAAAAGAGTTCTCTCAAGTTGGGTGGGCACTGGATGTGGGTTTAAAGATAAGAAAGAGACGGGAGAGGCCCATGAGTGACGGTTTATAGCTCTGCCTTGAATGTGACCTAACCACAATCCAAGGAGATGTCTGCCTTGGCCTGTAAGGTGACCTGCACTTGGCTCTGGTCTGTGGCCACAGGAGGAATGGAAAACAGCCTGTTGTCTCTGTCTGACTTCGCAGAATCAGTGTGCTCACCTCCTTCCTAAAAAATCCCAAGTCCTAAGAGCCAGGCTGAGAGATGAGCCCTTTTCACATTTCCAAGAAAGTAAAAAAACTTGAGTATGATTTAATGACAGTATTAATTTTTTTACTAGTAAAATAGTATAGTACCATTTGACTATTTTTACAGAATTCAAAAGGAGTAAATAATCCCTAATCATACTTTAATTATGTGTCAGCTTCCGGTGTCAAACATAATGAAAAAGTGTCACATCTGGGATTCATCTATCTACCGTGACCTCAGTCAACGTCTCCCTTCAGGGTAAATAATTTGCCACATACCATTAAGCCAAAAGTTTCCTGAAATGTCTGTGCTATTACAAGTGTTTATTCCACTTCCCCAGAGAAATCACAAATTCCAATCCATTCCTACTTCAATTAGAATTATTCAGGAAAGACCCATAGTGAATCACATCTTTCAATTTTATAGTTAAGTCTGGCTTTCAAACTTAGAATTTTTCTGTGTCCAGCTCTTTTGGTAGTATCTAGCTACGTGTAAAAATCATTCACTAACCTTTCTAATATATTTACCATGACACTGAGTAGATAACGATCATTGACTCTCATAAGATAAACTCCTGTTGGTAAAGAAATGATCCACACATACATCTCCAAATCATTTCAGGCAGAGGACTTTTTAAGACAAACAATTTAAAAGCAATACATTTTTGAACAAGGAATAAATCAAAACTATGAAAGTAAACACCGCTTCCTCTTGGTGAGAAGGTATTTGGTTGATTCATGATGGAATAGCTGGCAGGTTACTCTTGATTTGTGAATCATATGTCAGTATAAATCTATATCCCTTCTTGATGCCCCTTTTCAGTTACTTTAATAACATTCACAACTGAATGAGTTAACTTTTTCACACAAGTTTAACTGCGACAACTTCCTGAATTATTGATAATAGCTCCCTGACCTAAACCTGCCAGTTTATAGATGTCTTTCTTTCTAAAGACATCTATATGCCAGTTTATAGATATCTTTAGAAATTTTCTAGAAAGAAAATTTCATAGTAGTTGATTGACATCTTCATTCTGAACTTAGAAAAATATTTTATATTATATATGAACCTAACCTACAATATCAAGTGAGAAAAATATTTTATATTATACATGAATCTAACCTACAATATCAAGTGAGATGCACATAGATGTATAATTGAATTAGGTCCCCTTGAAGGTCTATACCTGATGACCAAGTACACTTGGGCTGTTGTGGGAGGCTGTGGACTCTTACTGAATTACAATTAAAATTTCAAATTAGAATTTTTTGTCATACTCAGTATGGTTTATTTGTCTAAATAGATTTGTGTAGACCAAAAGCTACAAAATCAACCCAAGCCCCTTGGCACATAAATTCTAAATAAAACTATTTGGGAACAGTGCTTTCCATATGGTCAGAAGAGAAGATGACACACTGGGTCTCAGTAGAAGCACAGCTAGGGGATGATTCTGTTACGTGACTGTGCTCATGGCCAAGTGTGAGGAGCAGGGAATGAGCTAGATGTGAAATGTGACATAGAAGTTCAAAGCCGTTCATTTCTCATTCCTACCAATTCAATCCTACTTCCATGATAGCAAATGCCAGATTTTACATAAAAGTCATATCTGGAAAGTTTTTAGGTTTGACAAGTGAATAATGACTGACTTTTCCATTTATAAAATGAAAATTTCCACTCAATAGTTTTTCTTTGTCTGATTGTCACCAATTGTATTAACATGTTTTGAGCTGGCTTTTTTTTTTTCCTTTTTCTAACTTAGAAATATCAAGAAGATACTTTATAAACTAACATTGATGGAAATCAAGAACTCTCTGCCAATTAGAGTTTACATAATAGTTTTCAGATGTACGATACAAGGTTGTATCAAATATAGACAAAAATAGCACCAAAGAAAATAAACAGAGGCCTTTCAAGCATTTTGGGAAAAGTAAGCTAAATTCCTGGAATAAAAAATTTTTCAAAAAGTCAGAGAAACACATTCAACATATTCTAGACTAAACCATCCACTTTCTATCTTCTGATATTCTGAGGCACCATTTGAAATGTTTGCATGTGAAAATAAAATGTATTTCAGAAAACACAAACAATAGAATAAAATAAATAATCATAAAGACATATTATACATTTGTCTACATATCAAATTGTACTTTATCTTAACAGTATGATTTAATGTATACAACAAGAAAATGGCTTATGAAAAGCAAGACATTTTCTTGTTAAAAAGTAAAATTTTGGCTTGGTGCCTGTAGCACAGTGGTTATGGTGCCAGCCATACACTGAAGGTGGCAGGTTCAAACCTGGCCTTGGCCAGCTAGACAACTGCAACCAAAAAATAGCTGGGTGTTGTGGTGGGCACATGTAGTCCCAGCTACTTGGGAGGCTGAGGCAAGAGAATCGTTTAAGCCCAAGAGTTTGAGGTTGCTGTGAGCTGTGATGCTATAGCACTCTATGCAGGGAGACAGCTTGAGACTCTGTCTCAAAAAAAAAAAAGTAATATTCTTTCCAAAAAATCAAACAGATCCCATAATCTGTTAAAACCACTTCACACTTATAAAAATATCCATCAAACTAAAAACTCTTAGAAAAAATTATCTAATTCAAAACAAAAACATTCTATACCAGAATCTGTCACATACACATAAAAGGATTCAGCCCAGACATCCATTCAGTTTTGAAGGTGTGAACATGAGACCAGTTGGTGGGAAATACTCATGTTTTAATACGCATGATCATGTACAGGCTCTCACGGTTCATTTGCTGTTCATTTAATCATGCCAGGGTAAGAAAAATGCTGGCTCTGTCAAATATTTTCTCAGATCATATTTTCATTATACTATTTTATGGTTTAAAGCCATTTAGAAATGTGCCCAAAGCATTTCCCAGCTACTTTCAAAAGCTGTTAAAGGACAGGACCTGCCTCCTACCCCTCCACCCCCAGCTCCCAGCAATAGGATGTGTTTTTCAAAGAATTCTTCAGGGTCCATCTTATCCCCTCTCTCCCACCCACCACCTCAAAAGCTTTGACTCCAATATGAACTCCTGTCAAAAGGCCATCGAAAACATGCCAAAATTGGCTGGAAATAACTTCTTTGGGTCAAGACTGGTTTGCTCTGCGATGTTGACATTCTCAGGAACCAGACATAATGTCTGAGTTAGACCATATCTCCCGGAAAATTCGGGCAAATCTCAAACACCCCAAGAATTTGTTGACTTTTCAGAGGCTACACCTTGATGGTCTTAGCCAATATAATGACTTCTGACCTTTGAGGACCGCCATATTGGAGAACAAAGTGGTGTTTTCTTTAGCTGTTTTACAATCAAGTTCCATGTTGTGCTCCCTTCCAGTGACTGACACAGTCCAAGCAAAGGAATCATTCTACCGCTGTTGTTAATCATGGCCACGAAAATACAGTTTAGGGTGTAAAAATCTCTATTTGTATAAAGTTCACCTTCTGTCTAGCTGTGCCTGCTAAGTTACAGAACTGACATCTGTCACCAGCACAGGAAACTGAGTAATTTAACCCAAGCGTGAGTATTTAGAAAGGTGGTGGTATAATATACTGATAGGTAAAGAGTCACGTCATAGCTCCTTTTGAAAGGTAACACCCTGCTACTCAGACTCGGTCCGCAGACTAGCAGCATCCACAACCTCATGGGACTTTTTATACAACTGCAAAATCCCAGCCCCAAGCCGGACTTCTTAAACCCTAAGTCTGCATTTTTCACAAGGTACCCAAGTGATGTGAATTCACATTAGAGTCTGGGAAGTGCTGGACCAACTCACCAGGCCACAGGTGTCATAAAGTCTGGAATCTGGCAAGTTTTATTTTCAAGATTGATGATCATTGGGTGCAGCACAAGCGCGGCATCCACCGTCACAACTGGCCTCGCTCTGTAGGGGAGAAATGCAGGGTTCGCATGACCATAAGAGCGATGGGTAGAGGCCACTTCACCGCAGGTGAAGCTCCACTCCCCAAGGACATTACTAACATTCCCAGCCTTTGTGCCAAGAATTCCACTCCCTGCATGAACAGGTGGGCAACACACTGAACTCATGACCTCCAAACACACCTGAAACATGTGAACACAACTAAAGCATGCTGGGGTGGGGGGCACAGTCACAAACTTGCTATCTGACACCTGGGCTCCTGGTACTATGACAATATTCTTGTGAAATACTGCTCTTCTATCTCCTAGACTATCTCTATGTTAATCTAAAGAAATATGTTATCTTAACAGCCACTTGTGTCTGTGAGTACTTGAATTTCACGATTTTGGTGACTTGTTGACTGATAATTTTTTATTTCTAGTGATAATTTTCTAACTATGCATTGTGGGCTTAGCAAAACACATGAAGTTGAGTTTACAGGATAATTCCATCCTTCATCCAGAGCAGTGGTCCTTAATCCTGAGTGCACCGTATCATCACCCAAGGAGCTCTGAAACAAATTCCCTGTCTAGGCTCCCTGAACCAACATCTCTGTGGTAAGGGCCAGGCATGGGCATTTTAAACAAACTGTCCTACTATACATCCTAATATACAGCTGAGTTTGAGGACTGAGATGGATACAGAGTAAATGCAATTTCAGCGACCCAGGTGAGGATAAGAAAAAAAAAAAAAGAGAGAGAGAGAGTAAATCATGGGGGAAGGAACAAAGCAATTGTTAAAGCTTGGTTCCAAGACAACTTAGCTGAGAGACACAGTCTGTAAATGACAGGGGAAAATGATACTGCGTCCGGTACCTTCCCCGGCATGGGGTAGAAAGGAGAGATGAGTCGTAGTGAAACAGTGTGAAACAGTCCCCTGGGATTTGTCCTAAGCTCCTTTATGCTACTTATCTGTCCTTTGTTAATATAATTTTGTGTTCAGTATTGTGTTAGTTCCAGACCTGGGAAAAGCAGATGAGAAAATAGAATTAGACATGCAAGAGATTCACTGAGGGGCAAACTCCTATGAGGAAGGAAGGGAGAGAGAGTGAAGGAGGCTGGGAGTTGTGGTCCCCAGGAGGACTGAGGCAAGGAGGGACAGTTGGGAAGAAAGTTCTGGCCTGAGCGGGGTGGGGGGGGGGGGGGGGGGGGGGGGGGGGGGGGGGGGGGGGGGGGGGGGGGGGGGGGGGGGGGGGGGGGGGGGGGGGGGGGGGGGCGGGGGGGCGGTGAACCAAAGTTGCCCTTGAGAGGAGTTTCCTGTTTCCCCAAATAGGGCTTCAACCACAAATGGGCAGTGGATGGTATCAATCAGCCCCTTTTGAGTTTGCTGAAGAAGAAAATCTTACCTATTTGAGGAAAGCTAACCTTAGAATCCCTCTGGGAGTTGACTAAGTTTACATTTCATGCCTGATACCCCAGGGATGCTCTTGGCCTTTTGTCTGGACAGCCTGCCTGACTTTATGGTGTCTAAGAACCTAAAGGGTTGGGCACCATGTACCCTTCATACAAATATTCTCGCTGAATCTTTTTAACAAAAGCAACTTTAGAAAGTAAGTCTTGTCCTGCTTTCCCGATAAAAATCAGAAGCTCAGAAAGTTCTAGAAACTTGCCCAAGATTGCAACCAGTGAGTGTAGGGAATGGCCAGGCTCTGAATCCATATCTGTTATATCTGAACTGTTCTCAGCTTGCTTTGGGAGGCTACCAATTCCTTCTTCGTTCTATTCCGTAACTGAAAGTAAATAGCAACATTGCCCCACCCTCCACCCCTATTTACAAGGGAACATTTCAATACACTCCCAAAGCAAAGAGAAGAAATCATATATGTAGCATTTTAAAAGTGGGTCATTTTATAAGCTCTGCTGAGTTTCATATCTTATATAATGTTGTACTTACAGGGTCTGGAAGTTCGGTCATGCAGTATGAGAATGAAATACAAAGGGAGGAGAGAAAGGTTTAAACATTGTGAGCCACAAATACCTCGGCGTTAAAAAGAACATCTAAACTTTTTCTAGAATGAATAGTTGGACTATGCTCTTTAAAGCCAAACTAATAACAGACAGAAATAATAAGGAAAAAGGTTACATACAACCAACCACGTACCTGTAAACAGCTACTTTTCCTGTCCCAAAGGCGCCCACGATCAAATCTAAGAAAGACAAAAACACAGGCACAAATCTTATAGAAACCATTCACTAAGCTCAAAATCATAAGTAGCAGAGAGAGAATCTGTAAGCGCTGACTGTGGAATGAGAGCCACACAAGAAGGAGGGGAAATGATGCTTTTCTTAAGATATTTTAGCAAGGGTAATGGAGCTTCGCTGTACGCAACACGTCTATCAGCAGACCTCAAGCCCTCCTGCACGTAGGAAGGCCAACTTTCTACAGACTCATTGTAACATCATTTATCCCATCCTCTCACTCAAGGCACATCTCTCAAGGAAAAGAGGAAAAGCTTATGCTTGGTGTCTACTAGGAACCAGGCTCAACACATACTGTCTAATTATGCCCTTACTAGCAACGATCCTACAAGCAAGGACCGTTAACCCTGAACTATGATCTTCTAATTGTCATTCTGACACAACCATTTGCTCTTTATAAATGGTATGGATGGTGGTGAATATACTTTTACCAATTATCTCAGGGACTGCCTAATTCATAGGTCAAAAGAGTGGCTTTTCTTGACATCATTTACAATGGTTATTCCTGGTGGAGGCAATCAAAAACAAATAAAAAGAGCAATGCCAAAATCTACAGGGTAAAATTCAGATATAAGAAAATTGAACTTGGTAGAAGCAAGGGCTGGGAAGAGAATTTAGAATGGTTGAAACTATAATTGCTTAATTCTAGTAAGATGGAAGTGAAAATTAAAAAAAAAATCAACAACAACAAAAAGCAAGGGGATCTTAGTTGTCCACTCCAAATAGGAAACGAACTAAGGAATTAAATTGGTATAATGGAGTTTTGCACAGAAAAACGATGGCCAGATTCCAAATAGAGTTAGACTACAAGGATTTAGGATTCTTCTCCTGAAGACTTAGTACCCCTGGGCGTAGCTCTTTGCTAGTTCAGGGTGGGAATGGGACACGTAGTCAGCTACCTTATCAAGTGGGATAATTCTGAGGTGCGTTCCCTGCTCATTTCCCCAGCTATGTGGAACCCAGTTGCCAGATAACCTTCACCGAACCTTCTTTTCCAAGTTTCTCTCCTCTATTCCAGTACCAGTATTTCTCAGAATCATTTCTCAAATAAACAACTTATTTTCTAATTTTTGTCTTTATGTCTGCTCTGGGACGAGGCAACCTAAGACATAATAAAGCTTATTAAAATTTTTGTTTAAAAAATGTACTCAACCATCTTCAAGATCAAAGCCACAGTCATTTCTCTTATGTTTCATTGCTACAGAGTCAGATTCAGACAATAGGCTCAAGATTTGACTCCAAGGTTCCATATGGGAAAAGGCGTGCATGCTAATGTTCCACTGAGTTAAACAAAGGTCCTCAAAATGTTGCTAATTTTATTAGTGAAATTAAAGAACGCATTAAGAAAAGGGCTGCAACTTGGCCAACTATGACTCATGGAATAAACCACTCTTTTCCAAGCATCTAAGTGTTTAGAGCCAGAAGCCAACATTTCTAAGTCTACCAATTTTTAAAATCATAATGAAAAATTCTATCAGGATCTCAACTTCTCCAGCTACATCAGTCACAGGTATTATGTCTGTTACCTCGGTCCTTTGTGACACCCCGGAACATTTTTGCTATGTCGAAGGAAAAGGTTCTACTGATCTGAAGAAATACGACCTCTGTTCTTCCTGCGTAATTATAAACCCCAATATTTAGACAAGTGTAACACAGGTGGCCCTGGCCTGAATCCATTATCTGGTGACATGATACCAGATAGGAGAGCTCTGTTATGAAAACAGACTCAAGAGGAGTTATGTGCTTTGTTCTTGGCTCCAAAAAAGGCGAAATGTTTATATAACAAGATGAGGCATTTTCTAAATAGCAGATGAGCATTCAGAATTGACTCTCTGGAAAAGGCAAAGAAAATAAGATTGTAAGCCCTTCCAGGGCAGGAATCTTTAGGTTTACATATTGCAAATGCTTCATGGAGTGGGATTATTTGAAATAAATAAAGAAAGAAGGAAATTTTGCATCCTCAGTACCAGTCATGGTACCAGGCTTGGAATAGAGACTGACGCCTGGTGAAATAGGGGAGTAAGTAATAATGTGATAATAAACTAAGGATGAGAGAGATGAGGAACATGAGTCAATTAAGACAGGCTAATGTAAACCACAGCTAAATTCTGCTGAACTTACTCATATATTCTCAGAGGTGTTGGCAAACAGACAGACAGATAGACAGATACACACAGGTTCTACAAAGCCATATAGCGATCACAGTTAGATTGTCATTGTAGGTGACAGTTGGAGAGACACCCTCCTCATGGCCCTGAGGAAGAGGCCTTTCCTTTAGAAACTTTAATCCCTGGGCCTTAGGGTGGGAATTTTCCTACTCTGGAAAAATAAAGTAACTGGCAAAGCAGGCCTCAATTTTCTTCCTAAGAATGTAGCCACAGTTCTCCAGAGGCCAAGAAAACAGTTATCTACCACAAAAGTATGTCTGCCTTTTGAGACACTACCTTGGTATCATGCTTGCTAAAAAGGCAGGAGCATTTATACTCAGGACCTTCAAATCATGAGATCTCTCTAGGGGAGGAGAATTGGGTTGCTGATTTGTAGTTCATCCCATACCTCTAGACACTGTGTCTATACAGTATGTATGTTTCAGACATGTTCCATTTATATACACATCCGTGTAGCTATGTTGGGGTGTGTACATATGTGTATGTGAAATAATACTTACATAATACTCATCAATCATACTTCAAGATATTGCATAATTCTGTGTTTAGGAACTTAAATGCTAATCTAGAGACAAGGTAATTTTGGTGCTGAGATTTAGATTCACAACTACACAAACTGTTTTTCCCTCTGACTTTGGGACAACAGGTCTTATCCCATTATCGAATATTCACCATTTTTCTTACAAAAAAATTTTTAAAGGCAGATTCTGAATCAAACGCATGAAAACCTTTGCCTTTCTCTACACACAGACGTTCAGCTGGGTATTTTTTTTTTTTAAACTTTTTCTTCTTCTTCCAGAAATCATGGGCAACTAAAATTGGTTCTTTCCCCTCAGTCAGAAAATGTTCTCCAAGTGCTGGAGGCTGTTGTTATGATTGCCTCACATTGCCTGAGAAACGTGGTTTATTTTCCTTTTGGCTTTTGATGGAGCAACTCAGTACTTTTAAGGAAACAAAAAGGGGCATCAGCACGAAGGCGGGATCAGTTGGCAAGAAAAAAATAGCCCTAAAAATGTGAGCTCATAGGAGATGGATTACACACCTATGTTTTATATTCTGTTTCTCAGAAATTGTTATTTTTTAAAAGAGGAGGAAGAAAAGAGCCAAGCCTTTAAAAGTGGTGCTTGGACCGTGGAATCTGATTTCACTCCACCACGAGGGAAATTGGAGAGTTGGAAGAAGTTCTGTTTGAAAACATCGGCTTTGTTTTGAGTGCGGATTTGAGGTTTGGGTGAGGTGGACAGGGTGCAGCAAGGAGAGAGAGAATGGAAACTTCCCAGGGAAGAAGCAGACAGCAGGGGGAGTCAAGAGGAAGAGCTGTGACAGTATTAAAGATTGAGCTGGGGACAGAGGCACACGCCTGCCATTCCACTGACTGAGGGAGGAGGATCTCTTGAGGCCATCAGTTTGAGGCTGCTGTGTGATTTGACAGTGCCCCTGAATAGCCACTGCTCTCCAGCCTGAGCAACATAGTGAGACCCCCGTAGTGAGACCCCCTCTTAAAAACAAACAAGCAATCAGCTAGTCATTTCGTGGGCAAAGGCTCTGTGACCACCCAAGTACCTACCTTTCCTAAGCTCCACCAGCCTTTTTTGACCTGATACCCTCTTCTCTCCTCTTTCTCATCTTGTTGAGAAACACACTAATATTGAACTCTTCCTGCTGAAAACGCCATCAGACGCCTCCTTAATTTTGCAATTTAAACACATTTATTGTATTAGGATAATGCCAGACAAAGAGAATTGCCATAAAGAACTTCCAAATGAAGGCGGACCGTGGGAATGTAAATCTCATACATGGACCAAAAGATGATGATTAATCAAAAGGTAAGAGCTACTTAAACAGCACCAAAACATACAGGCATCACAGGGGAATTTTATGAAAATATTCCAATTTGTATATAAAAACAGCACCCTGTACCCCATGATAGTATTAATATACACAGCTATGATTTAATAAAAAAAATAAAATTTAAACTTCTTTAGCCAAAAGTATAAGCAAAGTTAAAAGAAGAATGAAAGAAATAAGAGAGTTTGAAGAAGTTCTGTTTGAAAACATCAGCTTTGCTTTGAGTGTGGAGTTGAGGTTTGGGGGAGGTGGACGGGGTGCAGCGAGGAGAGAGGGAATGTTTACGATGTACGTCCCGGATCAAATGTTAATATTCTTTTCAACGCTTATGTATAGAAGAATGTCTGGCGCCCAGCAAAAAAATAAATATCGACAATTATTACTATGCCTGATTTGTAGCATATTTATACAAGTTAGTAATAAAACTATTGAGCATTCTAAGAAAAAGATTATAAACAGGCAATTCATATTAAACACACTTATGACCAATAAACACATGAAAGGATGTTCAACTCCACTAGTCATTGAAGTGGGAGAAATGATGTGATGTGAGCAAGGAGGTGTCGTTTTTAACCTTCCACATTGGGGAAGATGAAAAAGATTAGTACTAGGCAGTGTTGAGCAGAGAAGCAAGAACTCACATGCTCTGTTTGTGGTAGCATAAATTGGCATAATTTTCATGACAGATAGTTTGTTGTATATATATGATAACGTGTGCCTTTGATCCAGTCTTTGTACTTCATTCAGGGGGTGTCCAACCCACAGCCTGGGGGCCACCTCTGAATTATCTGAGAACTTTTTTGCTTATCTGTGGTGGTGGATATCACAAAAATCATGCATAAACCTTTTTATTTTTGTTCACCACCTTTTGTTAGTATTTGTGTATTTAATGTGGGGCCCAAGACAACTCTTCTTCTGATGTGGTGCAGAAA